CCCCCCACTCCAACGCCAAACTCTAAGGATTCCTCTTTTGTTTGATGTCAGTCAAAGGAACATTCCAGGAGGGGGGGGGCAGTCACGTCTCTCAGGATGGGTGTGTGTGTGTGTGTGTGTGTGTGTGTGTTCTAGTGTTTCTAGATCTAGACTAGACAGACTAGCATCCTTGCTTCCTCTTTTAGCTAGCCTTCAGGTGACACTGCATGCTTCCTACTGCCCTGTGTTGAACTCTGGTACAGGGTCACACACACACACACACACACACACATATATATTTATACACATATAAATATAAACATCTATATCGACACAGATATGCACACAGTTAGTGTTAAGTTTCTGTAAAATGTGCTAAAATGCACCAAAGACATTTACAAAACTTCTAGACAACACACATAAACTAGGCAACAGAGCTGCGTGTTTTTAGGTATACCATCTAATACCTCTATGACTCAGTGAAAGACCATGTCATGTTAGTAGAGTCTTAGGATTTGGAGACAAATATTTTTTTCCCACGTTCGGGATAAAAGAGAGTTGAGAAGACATGGTGTGTCTCATAGAGGAAACATGTTCCTGAATAAACACCGGGGTATGGCAAACATGCATTCATATTTATATTACATTCAAACCGAGTACCTCAGCAGATGGGACAATGGATCTTTGACATCATACCTGGACAGAGCCTGTCCTCCAGGCCAGTATATGGCCCAGTAGGGGTCAGCAAAAGGCCAGAGTTCTGGCTTTTCTCGCCACACTCTTTCATCTTTTCAAACCCTTCTGCTTTTCCACTTCCTCCTTTCTCCATCACTTCCTTTTTATTAACTTTTTTGAGCCCAGTTTTATCCCCCGACCCCCCGACCCCCCCCCCTCCCCAGCTTCTTTCTATCTATAGAGTAGTTAGAGTGTCAGAAGAGTAACAGTTTAGTTGTGGTGTTTAAACTCCTGAAATATTGTTGAAAATCACGTTTGTCTCTCGACGTAAGAATTCCTCAAATTCAGCCGTGACTTTTGTAGAAGTCGGAACTTTTTCTGAGACTTTTTTATGTCCAGGTCCGTCCTGAGGTTTTAGAGGTTCAGTCACTGATTACGGCATCACACACACACACAGACAGAACACACACACACACACACATAGATGATTAAAATGACAAGGTGAGTCCAGGACGTTGATTTCTGACCAAACAGATTTGATTGAAAAAGGACCTCGAACCATCAGTTGAGCATCTCTCTCCTTCACTTTCCTTTTTCCCTCTTATTCCGTTCACACACACACACACACACACACACAGGTGTATTTATTTACTGTACGTGGCCACAGAGAGTGAGTTAAAAAGGCACCTTTGCGGTGACGGCGCCCCCCAGTGTTAGTGTCCCAGCAGGTTTGGTGTCCAGTTTTATGCACAATATCAGGTTGCAATATTATACTTTTGTACAGAAACAAATGGTTTTAATGTTGAAACTGATTTCTTTTTGTTTCATTTTAAAGGATTTGAGTGTTTTGATTCTTTTCAGTGAAAATGTGACTTTTATTCTGTTTCTTTAATAGAAAAAAAAAACGACGGCATGTTTTAGATCTTGTGTGATTTCTTTCTCATTCTGCTGTCGGTGATCGGTGATTGGTCAACACCTCACTGCTGGTCAAACAACCACAGATAACGATAGTCCAGCCTGGGTCCAGCCCTGCAGCACCGCACATCTTCTCTTCCACCACACCTCAGTGAGTGTGAACCAGGGTCTTCATGTCTTCTCAGTTCTGTGGGGACCAACTCATGGACATCATGGACTTCAAAAATAATGAGGACAGTTGTCTGAAGCGAGCGACTTTAAAGGGCTGTTTGAGGGTTAAGACAAGATTTCAGAACTGTGGTAAGTGAAGTCAGGATTAGTTGGAGTTTAGTCTCTTTTAAGGACACAGTAAAAGGTGTCCTCAGAAGGACATAAATGTGTGTATGTGTGTTTGTTATTTTTACATTGTTTGGTTTTCTCTTCATCACAGTTTATTACTCATCATTACACAATACAGCTGCACACAAAAGACCTGCACACACACACACACACACACACATTCTGGTACAGGTATACTAGTGAAGACCTTAACTAGAATACCTTTCAATCTAAACCAAAATATTCCAGGGTCCACACGTCCGTCCCGACTTCAACAACAAACACCAACATTAGTGTTAAACTAATTAAGGGTTTTAAATATGAACACACATACACACTTATATACAGCAGTGTGGACCGTCAGGCTCCGACGTTTTCTTTCCGTTCAGTTTTTTAGAACTGCATGCTGTGCTCGTGTTTCTGGTGGTTCATATTTTGCTGCAACAGCTGAGTTCGATCTCCACGAGCCGACGTCTGCCTCCACCCTGGTCGGGGCTCCGTGGGGTCCTGGTACCCCGCTGAGACCCCGTCTGCCTGAGACCAGCGAACATGTGGGAAACCTCCCAGTTCTTCTCCTGGTGTGAGTGCACACACACACACACACACACACACACACACACACACACACACACACACGGTCCACTGTGTCTCCCTGCTGTGTAGCTCAGCTGTGAATGAGTGTCGGGGGGGGGGGGTTTCTAAGCCACTAGTTTGTTGTAAATCGTCACTCAGTCGTTCTGTACAGTCTGTAAATAAGTAAAGGAAACATTTTTCTAAAGGTCGGCGTCTTCTGTTTCTCTGCACTTAGAGAAAATGGCCTTTTTGGGATTCTGAGCTTTCTTTTCATGTCTTTCCAGGAGCGTTTCATAATGCACCCTTAATAGGAGTGTGTGTGTGTGTGTGTGTGTGTGTGTGTGTGTGTGTGTGTGTGTGTGTGTGTGTGTTGAAGATCAGCATTCTGCTAAAAAGCTTTATTTTTATACTTCTGTATCCCTTCAGGAAATGAACGCTCCAGTCTGGACTGAGGTGGGACGGAGGAGAGTACATTAACACACACACACACACACACACACAGCAGCAGAAACAGCAGCAGCAGTAACAGCAGCAACAGCAGCAGCAGTAACAGCAGTAACAGCAACAGTAAACGCAGCAGTAACAGCAGCAGTAACAACAGCAGCAGTAACAGCAGCACCAGTAACAGCAGCAGTAACAACAGCAGCAGTAACAGCAGCAGCAACAACAGCAGCAGTAACAGCAGCAGTAACAGTAACAGCAGCAGCAGTAACAGCAGCTGTAACAGCAGCAGCAGCAGTAACAGCAGCAGCAACAACAGCAGCAGCAACAGCAGCAGCAGTAACAGCAGCAGCAGCAACAGCAGCAGTAACAACAGCAGCAGTAACAGCAGCACCAGTAACAGCAGCAGCAGCAGTAACAGCAGTAACAGTAACAGCAGCAGTAACAGTAACAGCAGTAACAGCAGTAACAGTAACAGCAGCAGCAACAGTCACAGCAGCAGCAGCAGTAACAACAGTCCACACCCACAGACACTCGGCTGATGTGTGTGTGTGTGTGTGTGTTCCTAATCCTTCCTGATGTGGTCGTGTCTAATGGGCAGGAATTGAACCCTCACACATGTTATCACTGCAGTACGGCCCAGAATACACACACACACAGGCAGGTGTTGGGTCATGGACAGGACCAGAGCAGATGAATAGAAATAATTAATTTCCTGAATTAAGAATGTCTTCATCTGAGCCACCCCGCGGCTGGAGGAGAGCCCGAGGGGGGGGGCCGACGATGGGGGGGCGGGGGG